GTTCCCTTCCCAGTATTTAAGTCGTTCCTGTAAACAGAGCTTTTAGGATACAGTGTTTCCAAGAGATTAATTTTCCTGTGCTTGACTGCTTGCTGGTTTATCTCAATATTTTGATTTTTTGCATATTCTTGTTTAAATTACAGGCGGGGCTGAGAGCAGTGTATAAGTTAGGCATAGCAGTGGAAAAGCACCACGCGTTCTGCCCCATTCCACTCTCGTAATGCACCTCAGTTCTGACTTGTAGCATGCCTGCTTATTCCATTGCCAGACATTCTGCATGGGAGAGATTAACAACTGCACCCAAAATATGGAGTAGTTCCATGTGCAGAAAAGGGAACTAGGATGAATTAATGTCACTTTTTTTTTTAAAACTGAAAACAGAATGTTACTGTGACATTGGCAGACCTTGGTCATCTGGGGGAGGAATCACACCTGGGACCTCTGGAGCTTATGTATAACACATGAGCGAAAAGCTAGAGGGATATTAGTTATGCCTGTAAAGCAGACTTATTATTTTCTCTGTAAGTTGTCTCGGTGCCACCAAGTGGGACAGTGCACCAAGGTTCCCTCTAATCCTTCCCATCTATTTGTGGACTTTTTCCACCTGTGTGTGGAATAAATGTTTGTGTACCTGAGACGTGTGTGAATGTGCACCACCAGTAGAAACAAAGCCTAGCTGTGCATACTATGCTAATCAGATGCACAAGAGGAATAATGGTAGTTAGAATTAGGAGCTTTAATTCGAACTACCTAGTCCATGCCACGTGTAGCCGCAGGCAGGTACTTCGAACTACGGGCATTTAAAAATGGCGCCCTCCCGGGAACATGCAAATGAAACCCCGGGATATTTAAATCCTGGGCTTCATTTGCAAGTTCAAATTGCCTACATTAGCCACCCTAGTTTGAACTAGGGTGGCAATGTAGACATACCCTTAGTGAATGAGTCTCTACCGCATGAGCTAACAGCCAGCTGCCTATTAGTTAAGGCCATAGAGCATACTCACTATTCTCTCTGTAAATGGTCTCAGTGTCACTAGATGGGACAGTGCACTACACCCAGAAGGTTGTTTGGGTTACATTACCAGGCTAATTTAAACTTGCAGTGCAAAAAACAAATGCCAAATAAAATGGGATACTTGGTATTTCTGGACCAGACAGTCTCATCAGTCTATGCAATCCTCATAGCCTACATAATAAATGATGATGGCAAATGAATATTATCACCAAACATGAATATCCACAATCACAATGATGCCCAATATATTAGAACAACAATAATAATTACTTGAAGAAGGTGAACTAACATGAAGATGATTAAAAAGAAAAAATGAAAGCAAGGAACAAAACCTGAAAATGACAACTGCAAAACTGACAAGCTAATTTTCTCATGTATAATTTGTCAGATTAAAAATAATCAAATTATTATGCAAAATAAGAAAAGGACTTGTGAGGGAAGGGAAGTTTTTATTTTGCAATTTGTCATCCATCTCTGGTAATACCTTGCTTTTCCTGAAGTCTGGGAACATCAAAGCCTGTATGTTATTTGAGATGACCATTGAATTTACTATGCAATAAGGCAGGGCTACTCAACATGTGGCCTGTGGGCTACATGCCCCCCTATGGCCTGTTTGTTTGTGGCCCATGGTGCGATTTGGATTTACGCAGGGCTCAACACATGGCCCGTGGGTGGAAGCCAAAACAAAAAAGTAGTCAACATAATGGTCTTCCGTGGATATGTATTTTAGTAGTTAAATTCCTGGACTGTCACTGCTCATTAAAAGTGCTGTCATATGGGTGGAAATCGGGTAAATATTGCATTTTATTAATAGCAGCAGCTCGGACTTAAATGGGGCCTGCGTGTTGTGTAGTCTTGCCTTAATCTTTGTATGTGTGAAATAAGCTATTTGCATATATTTGTGTGTATATGCAACCACACTTAAGTTGCGGCTCTCGGGTGAGTAACATTGTTGCCCCTGGGGCTTCTGAAGTTGAGTAGCCCTACAATAAGGAGTATTTTTTTACTACTTGCTCATTGACTGTTCATTTACAGCAGATGCCTTGTATTATAAACAAATTCATCTTAATTCTCTTTGAAAATATGTCTTTATCAGAATGGTGAAGGTGATTTAGTTAAACACTGAGGCCATGTTTACACTAGGAAAATATTTCAAAATAACTAAATTTGACTTAATATCTTCCAATTTTAGAAAATTGAAATAGCATGTCCCCACTATGGAAAAGCCTTGAAATTAGTCTGAGGCAGGCTCCATTAATGAAGATATGCTGCCTTCACTTACAGTCCCAGGAAGCACTGGGGAGTAATCAGTTTGAACTATTCTGGGAAGTAGCTGTTTTGAAATAGCACCACTAGAGCATCCACATTACCATTGTTTCAAAATAAATATTTCAAAATTAGCATTATTCTCGGAGAAAAGCAGAAGTAAATGGCCGATTACTTCAAAATAATGGGCATGGTAGTGTGGACACCCCGCTTATAAATTCAACCTAAGGGGGGTTATTTCAAAATAAAGTCCTAGTGTAGACCCGGGCAGAGTAATTTGCATAGAAATGGGTGCAACAGCTGATGGTATGTTTTCTCCCTTAACTCAAGACTAGGGTTGGGCAGCTCTACAGCAACCAATCTGTGGTTAATCCCCGGTTTGTCTTCCTGCTTAATGGTGTTGTCATGATTCCTATTTAAATTCTTTTGTTCAGAGTTTATTAAACAGTTAGTGTACAGTTGTACAAGTTTGTTTGTTTTATTTTGTCCATGTTTTGCTTAGAGGGTTAAGAGCTGTCTGATGCACTGAGACCCAAGTGTCAAAAGGTGCAAATATGGGATGCATATCTGGAAAGTGTGGAAGCTCAGGACTAGTCAACTGTGCTGCCTACCCATACCATAGCTCTTGAACCAGTTAATCAGTGTTGCCTGTAGCAAATATATTTATAGTAACACAGGGACTGAGAGTTAATTGTCCTTGTTTCTGCTGAGTTACTCCATTTTATTCTGATTGGTTTTTATACAGTCCAGCACAATTATTATATTATACAAATAATTTCTATTTATAATTTGGGGGGATACTCTTCTGGGGAAGTCATGTTTAAAGTGTCTATTCAGGATGATGTACCTCAGTAAGACTCTTGTCAGATGATTGCATGAGAACTATAAACTGTCAAGGATGCAATTCCATGCTCAGCTGTCCCCAAGCCTCTGAATGACAGAAGGTCAGACTAGACAGTAGGGGTATGTCTAGACTACAGGCTTTTGTCGACAGAAGTTTTGTTGACAGATACTGTTGTCAAAGCTTCTGTCGACAAAGAGAGTCTAGACTTCATCCAGTTCTGTCGACAAAGCACCTTGCTTTGTCGACATGACAGTGTAGATGCAGAGGATAGTGCAGATTCAATAATGCCTTCTGTCGACAGAACTCTGTCAACAAAAGGCGTTATTCCTTGTAGAATGAGACTTACAGTTGTTGACAAAACTGCTCAGTCCTGTCGACGTTATGTCGACAGAATTCAGCAGCAGTGTAGACGCAGGTATAGTTTTGTCGACAAAATTCCACTTTTGTTGACAAAACCCTGTAGTCTAGACACACCCTAGGGGATGGATCACTTAGGCTGTGTCCAGACTCAGGGTTTTTTTCAAAAAAAGTAGCCTTTTTTCGAAAAAAAACTTTACCTGCGTCTAGACTGCAGCCGTGTTCTTTCGAAATTAAATCGAAAGAACGCGGCTTTTCTTTTGACGGCGGCAAACCTAATTCCACGAGGAAGAACGCCTTTTTTCGAAAGTGCTCTTTCGAAAAAAGGCATTCTTGAAAGCAAACAGGGCTTTTTAGAAAGAGAGCATCCAGACTCACTTGCTGCTTTCTTTTGAAAAAGCGGCTTGCTTTTTTGAAAGTTCCGCGTGCAGTCTAGACGCTCTCTTTCGAAAGAGGCTTTTTCGAAAGTATCTTTCGAAAAGCCTCTTTCGAAAGAGGCTTGCAGTCTAGACATAGCGTTAGTATTTGCCCTATTCCAAAGCACCTGGGAGTGGGCAATGTCAAACGACAGGATACTGGGCTAGATGGACCATTGATCGGACCCAGTAGGTCCATCCTTGTGTTCTTATAAATAAAGTAAGAGAAAATGTGAGTTACTTAAAAAGAAGAGATGACTGTCCCAGATAAGTCTTAACAGAAGCTTCACATAGACTAGCTGATCCAACTCTTTACTGGTCATATAACTTACTGGCTATTATATTGCTGTATGGATCAGTTCTGTCCCACCCACAAAACTGCAGTGTGGATGGAGATCACTGAGGTAGAGTCATAATACTCAAGGTGATCATTTATGGTTTTAGCCAAAAACTTCACTTCTTACCATTCATGGACCTTTTCAGCCTTATTAGCCTTCATTTTAATTCAATTCAGTGTACTGCCTCCTACAAGTGTTTGTAAAGTTTGTTTGTTTTTAGAGACTGGTCTAGATTGCAGGCTTTTTTTGGAAAAAGCTTTTTTGGAAGAGATCTTCTGAAAAAACTTCTTCCTAAAAGAGCATCTACATTGCTAAAGTGCATTGGAAAAGGAATCTGCTTCTTTGAAAGACCATGTCCACACTGAATGGATGCTCTCACATTTAACCTATATTTACTATGGACGGAGTGGCCACTAGGGCACCTATGCTTTTTCCTCTTTCCTCTTCTTTCAAAAGAACTCCCTCTTCCCCATCCACACATGCCGTTTTCCAAAAGAGCTCTTTCAGAAAAAGGCTTCTTCCTTGTAGAAAGAAGTTTACCAATGTCTGAAAAATCCCTCTGTTCTTTGTGGTTTTTTCGATAGAGCACGATTGCAGAGTGAACGAAAGTGAAATTTTTTCAGAAAAATGGCTGTTTTTCCGAAAAAAACTGCAGTGTAGACATACCCAGACAGACTCTTCAGATGTCTGTCAGAGCTCTTCCCAGGATAGGGATACATTATTTTTATGGATTAATGTCTTGTGTCCATGTGTCCTCATGTAGAGTGTTCACTAGAGATGACCTCAAGCTTGTGATAGACTGCTCTATATGAGAGTTCCAGAAAAAGCCTAGGATACTTTGTTTCAGATATAGGTAGCAGACTCTGTTGGCCTTACACTGAGAAGTACTTTGTTTTTCATTCTCCCTTGCATTCTAGAAACCATTTAGTTTTGAGTCCATGATGTATTTTATTGTTTACATTGTCACTAATCACTAAATTGCTGTAAGTTGTATCATATATTTATGCTACCAGCTCCATCTGATAGATACGATTTTCTTTTGGAAAAGGGGTTTGAATAGCAATAGTTATTGTTGCCACTTCCATCTTGGTCTTCCCATTTCCACACTAGATCTTTTCAGCAGAATTCATCATGCTTTCATGATAACTAGTTTAGGTTTTCTTTCTTCCTCACACCATTCATTTAAGTGTTCATTAACATTAGGTGTTTTATTACTTCTAATGAACATATCTTGTGCCTACTGTACATTTTTAAATTAATTAATGTATTTATAAAAGGTAGAGCCAATTATATTCTGCTCTTAGATAATTGTGTAACTCTGCATTTCAGAGGCAGAATTTGACTCATGGAATTGAAATAATCAGACAGAACATTTTTCTGTGTTTAGTATCTTAAGTATACTAAAATCTTAATTCAAGGTAGCACATTTTGAAGTAGTGTTCCATAAAATAAATATATAAAGAATCCAGATACTGTATGTCAAATTCTATTGTTTTACATGGCTATAAATCCAAAATAATTCCACTGAAGTATTCCATATTTGTATCAATGTAACAAAGAGCAGAACTTGACCATTTATCACTTTTGTGAGTGTAGACATGTATGTGGATGTCTGATTTAATTCTGTAAAAGGGAAATTGAAGAAAATGTTACAGTAGTTGTTACAGATATTGCCTTGTGTGTTATCTAATCCTAATGTTTTGCACCTTTAAACTTTTCCCTTCAAGTTTTTACTGTGTTCTGTAGCCATCGGTTTGTTTATTTTTTTACTTTGAATACTTAATTTTCTTTCATTTTCCTTCTTAACCTATTTCTCCTCTCCCTGCCATATGATAATTTTGAATTGTTTGTCTGTATATAGCTATAGACATAGATGCCACTGGCTTAGATGCAGAAGAAAATGATATTCCAGCAAACCATCGCTCCCCCAAACCCAGTGCAAACAGTGTAACATCACCCCACTCCAAAGAGAAAAGAATGCCCTTCTTTAAGAAGGTAACACCAACTTACAAGCTGCTATCTGTCCACCTGCTCACCTGCACTGCGTCACATTTCTAGTCCTGTTAACTGTCTGCGTCCTTTGACAAGCCAATAACATGCATGCTTTGTTATTCTTTGTTTCTTTTCCATGCTGCTGTAGCTAAACAGAAGCAGAAATCGGTAAGTTTACATTGACATGAGCTGTGTTTATCCTGCCACTGGCATCATTAGCATTATTATCTATAATCTATACAAGACAATCATTTTAAAATTAAGGAAGAAATGGATCAACTGATTAGTGAGTCCATACATTAAAACAAACATGCTAGGTACAGTCAGTAACTCAGTGAAACACTGTTACAGTACTTATCCTTTTTGATGGAATAATAGGCACAATGGGAATTTCTTTGAACATTCAAGAAAGTAAAACATTGACAACTCCCTATAATGCACCTTTCTAGTGCATGCTTATTCTATCTGTCTGTCTCCTTTTTTTTCAAGCCTTTTAACTTATAATTCAGCCTGTTAAAACTATTATTAAAATCTAATCAGATGCTCAACTTGTACTTACAAAAAAAGAACCTTCAAATTTAAATGTAGTCAGTATTTAAACTTCTGATCCACTAGGTACCAAATCTGCAGATGAGCAAGACCAGTGGAAAACTGCAGACTTGTTTTGGCAGTCTACTGTGAGTTTTTCCTATTGACATCTACAAATTCTCTCCCAATATTCTTGCTTTCATCTCCATCAATCAAATTGTAGCATCTTGACTATTGGAAATGGGACTAGTGTCCCTTTCAGATCCTGTACCTGTCCAATGACTGGCCAACACAGGTTCTACTGAATTATGCTGCTGGCACCCTTTGACTGGAGACTCTCTAAGATATGTGTATTAACTTGGCTTGGATACATTGTTTATCAACAATATATTTAGCAGATGCAGTACTAGGCAAGCTTCTATATTTCTACTTTTATTTTTTAATCCTCACATTTTTCTTAACTTCTCTTCCTAGGTTTTAATGACAATCCTCTATCCATAGGTTACACTGTCATACTGCTTATAAGTATTGCCAATGTAGTGTTACCAATTCTGTGGATGCATCCACACTTAGGGTACAACTACACTGTGGGGGTTTTTTGAAGAAGGTATGCAAATTGCACTCGCATTTGCATATCTTCTTCCGATTCTTTTTCCAGAAGAGGATTTTCTGATATTTGGCCTGTCTACACCGGGCCAAATGTCGGGGGGGAAAAACCCTCTTTTGGAAACCCCTTATTCCTCGTAAAACGAGGTGGACAGGGAGCTTCTGAAACAGGGGGGGTTCCAACATTTGGTCCGATGTAGATGGGCCAAATATCGGAAAATCCTTTTCTGGAAAAAGAATCAGAAGAAACTATGCAAATGCGAGTGCAATTTGCATACCTTCAAAAAAAAAACCACAGTGTAGTTGTACCCTATTAGTAGTGCAAAAATTCTTTCTCTTTCATTTCTTCAAAAAATAGTGTATTCTTCTTCGCCATAAAAAGTCCTTTTGCTTGCTTCAGTGAACAATTTTCTTAAATAATATGACTGTTATTCTCAATTCATTGCAGAATGCCTGGAATGGAATGGGAGTTCCTTGTTTTCTGAATGATCTTTTAGTGAATATAATTGTAGCTATAAAAAATGCAAACACTATGCACAGCTAAGACATTTGAATCTCTTTCTTGACTTCTATCAATGTAAACATCTCCACAAAGCTTAACCATTTACAAGGATGAGGACCTATTATGGGGATGAGAGGGTAATTAAATCTATACACCTATGCATTCTTTGGCTTCTCTGATTAGAATTTCAGAGTCATTACTAGCTCTGATGAGTGTTTTCTGTAACATGTAGATTGTTGTCTGTTAGAAACTAGATGGACATCTCCAAATATTTCAGACAGTAAAACCATGTAACCATCCAATGATAAAATCTCAATCAACATCATTCTGGGATGCATTTTAACCAAAGACCTAGAGGAGGAAATTTCTGTAATTTACAACCTGATATTTTAGGGGATTGAGCCCTTAAACTCTTTATTAATTTTAATAACTGATGCTTCCATCACATTTTTGTATAGTTTTTCCACTCATTTTCTATTTACAAAATAATTAATTTTAGCTGGAAAATGTAAAAATAAGCTGTGAGTTGCAGTGATATAGGTTTTAAACACAACTATTCCATCAAACAAGGTAAATTCTGTACCTTCCCTGATTTTCAGGTAGCTTGTTGACAAATAGCATTGTGCAGCTTTTGTGGATAGTCAACCATCTTATAAGGCAGATGTGCTGTATCTGAACTTTGACCCCATAAACATTTACAGACATTTACAGATCATTTTTTCTTAGGGATTGTCACTATAAGGCATGCTTCCAATTATTTACATTCCTGGTAACAAAAGTTAAAAGGGTGTATTTTCATAATTACACAACATAGTTACATGGCTTTTCTTCAAAACACCTTAAGAAAGATTCCTCACTGTGTAAATAAGTTCTCTTCATATGCTTATGATGCCTCGGGCACTGGTATTCATTCTTCTTATGTTACCAATTATGTGGTGACCTTACATGTATCAAAACAACAACAACAACAACAAAAAGATTCAGCCACAAGATTGTTTTCTATGTTTTAGGCTGCTTTAGTCTGCTGCTTGTGTGGCATTTTGTGCTGTTTCTGTATTAATGTTTGTCTCTGGTTTTTTGTGTTTGAAAATGTTTTTACCTTGGTTTTTTTATTGTGATTAACCTTGGGATTGTTGAGTCCTGAAATAATTAACAATGACAATATCTTGTGATGGCGACTGATGTATTTGTACTATGTAGGCCTTTGAAAAATAGATCTGGCATACCTCCTTTTAAGCTTTTTCCAAGTTGGTGGAGTTGAAACATGTTTTCTCCCTAAAACAAATAAAAAATCATTTTTTTAATTGCCTGATAAGCCAGTTATGGTAGTCTTGGGTATGTCTTAGGCAAACAGTTTATTTAAAAAATGTTTGATTACTCTTCTTTACTGTGAATATTAATTTAGATGATTTTGGCAGTCTTCTGATAGATGCATTCTTTAAGCTAATGTATCTTAAAGAAAAATTATACAAACATTTATAAATCGTGCATGATACATCAGTAAGTGGTTTACTAAACAGTATGTAACTAACGTAACTCCTTTCCTTGAGAGCAGATAGGAGCCTCCTAGACAAGGAATATTGCTGTTCTCAGCTCTGTTTATTTAAACTTTCTGTAAATACTAACATAACTAGTTTTTGTCACTGTGATTGCATTTGCCAGTGGTGGTAAAATATATTTTAGAATGTGTGGGTGTGACTGTGGAAGTTAGGATATGCACACTTCCATGGGAATGTACAGTTATGTCAAGCAGGAAACAGTTATATAGGAAAGCAGAACTAGGCAATCCCCCCTCCCATCCCCGTTTTTTTGTTTGTTTTGGTTTTAGCTTTCTTCCTCCCCTTAGTAGTAATAGATTTTATAATAGATTTAATAGGATTTGGAGAAGAACCTTCTGTCCTTATTCAGCTGTCGCAGCCCTACTGTCAGTCAAGCAAAGTAACTTTCAGAAAAAGCACATACCATGTTAGCCACTCAAACTGTTTGTGGCTTTTTTCAGAAGGGCCAGTTCCCAATTAGAGAGAGTGAGGGAACAGAGAAAAATGGAAGCTTTTCCAACAGAAATCCCCAAGCCATCCTTCTTATACTGCATATCTATTTTCAGGAAGAGGCAAAGAAAAATCAGTGAGTCCCCAAATCTTCCCTTTGTGACACTGCTGGAAATTCAGAGTTACTTGCATTGTAAATTAATATCATTCTCTTTACATGCTGAGATTCTCAAAGTGTTTTCCCTTTACACAGACAGAGCACATCCCTCCCTATGATGTAGTGCCTTCAATGCGACCAGTAGTTTTAGTGGGGCCTTCCTTGAAGGGGTATGAGGTAAGTAATTGCCAGTGACTATTTTCAGTATGTCAGAAAGATTGTCTGTCTTTAGTTTTGGTTTTTGGATTATATGTGACAGATCATCAATTAATGCCACAGGAAGATTAGGCAAAAAGTAGGAGACTACAGGATAAATGTTTTCTTACTTTATATGTTTCCTTATCAGAATTCAGATATGGGAAGTTCAAGGATTCAGATTGTGAATGAGCTTTTTACAGTATGCCACCAAGCAGGCCTGCAGACACAATGAGGCAAAGGACGCAGTTGCCCCAGGGCCCAGCAATTAAAAAAAGGGTCTAAAGCTTCTGGCTGCTGTCGCTGCTACTGCAGCAGCAGTGGCGGCCATTGCCCCATGCCCTTTACATCACTGCTAGAGCGCCGGGCGGCATTCTCCGGGCAACACTGAGGCCTATGGGAGGTGCAGCGCTTTTCTGGCAGAGCTGAGGGCTGCCTAGCTCCAGTCCCAACCCCAGCCCCAGCCTTTCTGTCCAAGGCACCACTCCTTCAGGGGCACAGAGCAGGATGCCTCACCTTGACCAGATGCCCAGCGAGGCTGTTGGCTTCGCTGCCACTAGTTCTCACAAGTTTTTAATAATCCTTAAAACACCAATTAACCAAATTTTCTAAGTCATTAACACCATATAGTTTTTATTTCACATGCAGAGTTTTAATTTGTTGCTTACTTGCTTTTAGGTGACCGATATGATGCAAAAAGCATTATTTGATTTTTTAAAACACAGATTTGAAGGGCGGTAAGTAGTATGGAATATCTCTTTACTTGAAGGTAGCTCTTATTTTGAAATTGTTGTGTCCTTCATAAATAACTTTTTAACCAGGATGCCAATGGAAAAGAATTTTTTGCCTAGGCTGCAGTTAATAGTAGAGTACCTCCTATATGCAATAAATTGTGGAAGGGAATGAAAGCTTCATGAGCAGAGAACATTGCTGCTGTATGGGGATGGGAAATGTCTAAGAAACACACATGCATATTATTGCAAATAAGGCAACTATGCCTGTTTTGTGGCCAGAGGTGGCATCTGAAATCCAAATGGCTAACCAAAAACCCTGTGTCTCCATCCCCTGCCTTCTCCTGTCCGGGCCCCAAAAACCTACATGGGTCACTTCACTGCAGCACACAGGAGACACACGAGAACACCTGCTCCCTCCCCCAAAGCAGACCAAGTAGGCATCCCAATCACCTTCTCCCTCCCTTCCAGACTTCCCATCCATACCCCAACCATGTCCCTGCATTCACCTCCTGCCCCCTCTGTCCAAACCCTACACCTCCATCCCCAACCCACTCCTGCACCCTGCCTCCTGCCCAGACCCCCGTGCCCTCACCCCGAGCTTACTCCTGCATGCTCCTGCCTACCCAGACCCTGCACCTCCATCCCCAAAACACTTCTGCATCCTCCCTCTCACCCGTCCTCAACCTGCTCTGCATTCTTCTTCCCACTCAGACCCTGCACCCTACCTCCCACCCAGATTCTGAACCTCATCCCAAGCCTGCTCCTGCATCCTTCCTTCCGCCCAGACCCTGTGTCTCCATCCCCTGCCTTCTCGTGCCCGGGCCCCAAAAACGTATTCCCAGGCTGCTCCCAGCACCACTTTCTACACACTGAATCCATCATTTTTGGCCCCAGCCCAGAGTCTCAATATGCCCCACAATATCTACTAGCCTTGGGCCCCCAGAAGAGTTAATCAGGCCCTGGGGGTAATAACTGAGCTTCTATGCCTCCACTCCCTTCCCCCCACCCCCTTCCCTCCACTCCCATTGGACTGGAACTTGAGGGATGTGTCTTTTTTCCCTGCTTCTCGGGTGGGACTCACATCTGTGAGGATTTGTGTTGTTTTGCTTCTTCCTTATGTGTGGCCTTGACTGCTTTTTCTGAGGGTTACTGGCCCCCGACCCAAGAAAGGTTCCCCACCCCAATCTAGACCATCCTTGACAGATGTTTGTCTAACCTGCACTTAAAAATCTGTACAGATGGAGAGTCCACAACCTCCGTAGCCACTTTATTCTAGTTTTTAACCACCCTGATGGTTAGGATTTTTTTCTTGATTTCCAAACTTAATCTTCACTGCTCCTTTTAAGCACATTGCTTTTTGTCCTATCATCAGGAATTAAAGAGAATATTTTTTCTCTCTCCTCCTTGTAACAACCTCTTAGGTATTGGAAAGTTGTTATCATGTCCCCTTTCAGTCTTCTCTTTTCCAGACTAAACAAATCCAATTCTTTCAACATCCCCCATAGCTCATGTTTTCTAGACCTTTAATCATTTTTCTTGCTCTTCTCTGGACCTTCGCCAGTTTGTCCACATCTTTCCTGAAATGTGGCACCCAGAACTGGACATAATACTCCAGTTGCAGCCTAATCAGCATAGAGTAGAGTGGAACAATTAGTTCTTGTGTCTTGCTTACAACACTTCTGCTAATACATCCCAGAATGATGTTTCCTTTTTGCAACAGTATCACACTGTTGACACATATTTAACTTGTATAAGTCTATGACTCCTAGATCCCTTTCTGCAGTACCTTCCTTGTTCCTTCCTAAGTGGAAGAACTATGCAATGAAAAATTCAGTAGTTAAATGTTTACATGTGGGGTGTGTGGCTCCCCAGGAACTGGTGCATAGGGAGCTGGCTTTTAAGCTGGCTCCCTGTAAGCACCAGCTTCCTTGAAGGCAGAGGCAGAGGCAGAAGCATTGGAGGGTGGGGAGAGGCTCTGTGGGAACCAGTACGTGTGGAGAGTCAGCTTAAAAACTGGTTCCCTGCATAGACCAGCTCCCACCTGCCCCATCCCACTGCTGCCTCTGATACAGTGTTCCTGGGAAGCCTGCTTTTAAGGTGGATCCCAGTAAGCACTGGCTTCCGCTGGCCCCCCCTCCCCTCCCTTCCCCCTGCTCTGCTGTCTCTGGTACAGAGGCAGCAGTGGGAGGGCAGGCCCTATGTTTATCTGTGAAGGTAAACCAATGAGCTCAGTACACTATCACATGTGTACAATATCACATCCCTAGTCCATATTGAATTTCATCCTATTTACCTCACACCATTTCTCCAATTTTGTCCTGATCATTTTGAACTATAATTCTATCCTCCAAAGTACTTACAACCCTTCCCAACTTGGTATCATCCACGAACTTCATAAGTGTACTCGCTGTGATGTTATCTGAATCACTGATTAAAAATATTGTACAGACCAAGTGATTCTATGATTCTCTGTAGTATGTAGGAAGGAAATTGACAAACATGTAAAGTGGAAAACTTGTTTTGCTAGATATAAAATCTAACTTTTAGCAAATGGACATAACAAACTTAGTAATGCAAATTAGCTTTAAGGTTTTTTTCCCCATAACTTCATGGAATAATCTGTACAATGTTATGCCAAGAATCATGGCATTTGGCTTTGCTTTTAGTTGGTGACCAGACCACGGACATATTTTTTAAAATGTCTCTACTTTGTACTGTGAAAATAACTCTGTTTTCATGTATAAACTCTGGCTTGTTGCATTTGATAGTTGAGGATTTTACACAGATATGTACACACATTGAGCACAATGAAAATGAATAGAAGTATTTGGATAGATTTTAACTGAACCACTTATGACTTATCCTCTATGGGAATATTTCTCATAGTTCTTAGTAAATCCCTTTTTTTTCCCCTCTTAAATGGCAAATAAAATTATAAATGGGGTAGTTATGAAATGGGGTCAGCTTGATTTAAATCTCATCTTTGGAAGAATGTGACCCCTGTTTAGTCCAGAAAATTTGAAGGTGGAATCAAGCCAAAGAATGTAGGTTGGCCGTAGAAACCGGAAGAAGCTGATCTGTTTTCACAGGAAAAAGAAAATACAAAAGGCTATGTAGAAGGTCACTGAGACCAACTGAAAGTACAGGTTGAACCTCTTTAGTCCGGCACCCTCAGGATCTGACCCGTGCCAAACCAGAGAATTTGCCAAACCACAGGAGATCAATAATGTACTGAGTAGGCTTCTTTATTTTTATTTTGCCCAGGCGAATAAATGGAAAATGCTTGCAATACTGCTTAGTAAATATATGACTGGACTGATATACCTGTATAAGCTTAGGCCTTAGGCTTATCAGCTTTCTTCATAACAAAGTGTTTGTGTTGTAATGCACTTGTACAATATTGGCACAGGGAAATAAGAAGATAAAGCATAAAAAGCATGCTTAAACTTAGCAGTATTACCAATACCTCCACTGCTTGTTGGGCTCTTAGAAGACATTTATGGGAAAATTAGAGCTAAATAACAGCACACAACACTGAGGCTATGTCTACACTACAATGTTTGCCAGAAGAGGCAATGCAAATGAAGTGCAGATTAGCATTTTCTCATGCTTCATTTGCAAAATTTCTTCTGATCTGTTTTTGGGCAAGGGGTTATTCACAAAAACAAGCAGTGTGGATGCTTCCTTTTTGTGCAAAAAAGCCCTTTTGGTAAGATCGTTATACCTCCTTTTTTGAGGCATAAGGATCTTGTGCAAAAGGGGGGGAGGGTTGTGGAAAAAGGAAATATCCACACTGCTTGTTTTTGTGCAAAAACCCCTTGCGCAAAAACAGATTAGAAGAAGTTATGCAAATGAAGTGTGAGAAAATGCCAATCTGCGCTTCATTTGCATTGCCTCTTCCAGCAAACATTATAGTGTAGACGTAGCCTTATTGTCCCAAAGATGAGTCTGCCAGGCACTAAGGGCATAGCTTTCATTGGCTTGTCTCCTCATACTTTAATTTCTTTGCTGTCAGAGCTCAAATATTTGAAATTGATCATTATTGTAGAATGGGTTGTGACAATGAAATGTAAACCTTGCTCCCTGTTACAAACTTGTACAAGGAAACTGAATCATTTGATTAAAAACAATTATAGCCTTGGGCTATAGCATGCAATAGTCTGGGTTCTAAGACTTCTAATCATTTTGAAATTCTATAGGTATTTCTATTTATTTTACACATGAGTATCTATATTCTAAACAGAGATTAGGGAAAATTTTGTTTTCTCTGAGGCAGATTATATATTGTCATGGAGATATCTATAGGAGGTAGTTTGAGGGGCCACAAAACTCTGCAAAGATGATCTTCCTATAATTCTTTCTGGTCATCTCATCTGTGGCTGTTGAGAGAGCCTGACATATAAATCCTGGACTCAAAGGGAAAGACAACCATATATTCCACAGAACTCTGGTTCCCACTCACTTTGCACTGTGGCTGCTGTAGACAGTAGCCATGCTGCTGCTAGGTGTGCATTCATAGTATGCGGACAAAGAAAGGGGTGCAGATGCTGCACTTGCTTGAGTACTGCTTGAAGCAGAATTTATTAAGGCCTAGATAGCCTCTCGTTTAGCCCCTTTTTACAAAGAGGACAGTGCCACAAATAGGGACTCCTCTGTTCCTCTCTACCTTTTAATATTAAGTGCCTGACTTTTAGCCTCACTTTCCTGCATGATGAGTAACAAACAGGGTTGTTGGTTTTTTTTACAGTATATCAATCACACGGGTCACAGCAGACATCTCGCTTGCCAAACGCTCCGTATTAAACAATCCTAGTAAGCATGCGATAATAGAACGGTCCAACACAAGATCAAGCTTAGGTAAGTAGCATATGTAGCAATAATGACCAGATTGGCACTACAGTACAGTACTCCCGGTTCATGTCTATAACAAAAAACATGTACTATTTCTGCTGTGAAAGGAGCACTGTTCAGTCATTCCAGTCATGCTGCCAACAAATCACAGAGACTAGAAATGTGAACTCACTTCTGAAAGCACTGCCTGAGAAAATACTTATAGGTACTGGTATTGGGCTACCATTCTTCTATTGGGATTAATGTTAGTTTTGGTACAGGCCTCACTGTGATTAAGAACTGCCCATAAGGCAAATAAAACATGGATATCCCTTTGGATAAGTAAAGATGCAGTTTCACGATTACTATTGGGCTCCTCAAAGTTCATAAAAAATCTGATCTTTGCTGAGATACCTGATATATATATTGATATTTCTGAAGTTTTTTATTTCAGTATTGAATTATCTTCAAAGTATCTCCTTTGACTTTAACTTCACCAATCTACGCTCGAAGTTATGGCTAATCTTCAAAGTTATGGGTGTATATAAAAACTGAAAAAAGCTATAATTCATATTCAGCTAGATTCTCAGCATGTCAATTGGTGTATCCCCGTTGACTTTAACTTCACCAGTCGACACTAGCTTGGGATTTGGTCCATTGCACTTCTGTATGGAGTCAAGCTAAAATGGAAAATCAGCCTTAAGTCTGACTTTTCTGATTTTGTTTGTGTTACAACTTTATATTTACAATAAATCCAGTTTATTATATTTATTTTATGAAAATCGTAATTCAGGAGTGGTTGTTTTTCTAAAAAAATATCTGTTAGGAATTATTTGGGGAAGTTCTGTGTTATAGAGGAGGGCAGACTAAATGATCATGATGGTCCTGCTGTCTTTGGAATCTGTGCACAGACAATAGAAAATGTCTCAGGGGATAGTCATGTTAGTCTTTAACTTAAAAAACAAACTTAAAAAGCAAGAATGGTAGCACCTTAAAGACTAACAAAAATGTATAAATAGTATCATGAGCTTTCGTGGGCACAACCCACTTCTTCAGATGAAAAATGTCAATAGAAAATGCATTAGACGTAGGACTAGACTGGCTTTCAAAACCATTTTGGTATTTTTTGTTGAATATATTGTAATAGCCAGTTTTGTAAAGAAAGAGTCTGAGTCAATATGTATTTTATTGGATATCTTAATATTGATAGTTGTGTAGAAGTTGGGCTTTTCAGAATGTATTCCTTGCTTGAAAATTTGCTCTTGAAAACCCATCCTTCGAGATCTTGGATGGCAAGCAGAGCTGGATGTATAGTAAGCAAACTTATTCACACAACATTGTGATGATTTCTAAATAAATTTGTTTTGACTGGTCACATACCTTTTTTATTTGCTTTGTGCAAAGTTTTGCTCATGTGAACATTCTTGAGAGTGAATTTCAGGCCTGTTGCCAAAATTGCGTTTGCCATTTAATGAAAAGATGAAGTTAATTTGTTTGCAGGTGAAGTGAAAGAGATTATAAAGATTAGATCATCTGATCAAGGAACATACACACAGAATCATGGTGATCAGCTAAATAACTTGAATATCAAAGAATGACTATGTAATACTTGAAAAATAATCCTAGTAGTCAAAAGGGTATCAAGTTGAATAGGCTAAAATGGGTAAAAACATGTAAAACATCCATCAAAGAATTTCACAACTGAAAATTTGTAAAAACTTTAATTTATTTGTTAAGAGGGAAAAGGCTAAATTTATTGCATAAATAGTTCATGATGAATTGTTCACCCAGTTCTAATAACAGACGTCAGCATATAGCACCTCACCATCTCTTCTTTCTACTTACTGTTCTACTTACACAATCTCAGTTGTAGCAGCACAAATGGTGTGTGTGTAGGGATGTTAAAATTCATGTAATTAAGTAACTTTCAGTGGTTACATGTGAGTCAGCAGTCGGCTCCTGCCTGCCCCTTCCCGTGCTGCTGCCTCTGTTTCACAGCCATCACTCATTGTCACTTTCAGTCCTCATTCTCAAAGGAAACCCCTGAAAGGTGAGAGCTGGAGCTTAGACTCATAGGGTATGTCTACACTACCCCCCTAGTTCGAACTAGGGGAGTAATGTATGCATACCGAACTTGCTAATAAAGCCCGGGATTTGAATTTCCTGGGCTTCATTAGCATAAAGCCGGCGCCGCCATTTTTAAAAGCCGGCTACTGCGAACCCCGTCGCGCGGCTACACGCGGCACGGACTAGATAGTTCGGATTAGGCTTCCTAATCCGAACTATCTGTACGCCTCGTGGAACGAGGTGTACAGATAGTTCGGATTAGGAAGCCTAATCCGAACTATCTAGTCCGTGCCGCGTGTAGCCGCGCGACGGGGTTCGCAGTAGCCGGCTTTTAAAAATGGCGGCGCCGGCTTTATGCTAATGAAGCCCAGGAAATTCAAATCCCGGGCTTTATTAGCAAGTTCGGTATGCATACATTACTCCCCTAGTTCGAACTAGGGGGGTAGTGTAGACATACCCTATGAGTCTAAGCTCCAGCTCTCACCTTTCAGGGGTTTCCTTTGAGAATGAGGACTGAAAGTGACAATGAGTGATGGCTGTGAAACAGAGATGAATCATGGACTCAATAAAGATTCTGAATTTATGGCTCACTACTACAAAATATAACACACTTATCTGGTTTTGTCCTATGACTGTAGAGGTTTTAACTGCCCACTTCACTTGGAATGATCTTTTACAAAGTGTTAACTTCTTATGCTAAACCAGTAGCTGTCAACTTTCCTGACAATTGCACCCCTTTCAGGAGTCCGATATTTCTTGCATATTCATCTCACTTAAAAATTCCCCAAATTTCATCTCACTTAAAAAATATTTGCTTTCATAATCAGACCTAAAAATACAAAAGTGTCACCCCACTCTATTACTAACTAATAGCTTGCTTTCTTATTTTACCAAGTACTTATAACATTTTACCATGTAATTATAATATAATTGATAAATGATTAAAGATCTAGGAAAACCTGACCTGTGTGGGAAGACTGAAAGAATTGGACTTGTTTAGTTTAGAGAAGAGAAAAATGAGAAGGGACCTGATAGAAGTTTTCAAGTCTCTAAAAGGGTGTTACAAGGAGGAGAGAGGAAAAATTGTTCTCCTTGGCCTTTGATGATAGGGGCTTAAATTGCAGCAAGGGACACTTAGGTTGAACATTTGAAAAAAATTCCTTCCAGGGTGGTTAAACACTGGAATACATTGCCTAAGGAGGTTGTGGAATCTTCATCACTGGAGATATTTAAGAGCAGGTTGGATAGACATATATCAGGGATGATCTAGATGGTGGTTGGGGCACCACCATGAGGGTAGGGGCCTGGACTTGATGACCCCTCGAGGTCCCTTACAGTTCTAGTATTCTATGACTGTGTGATTCTATAAATAAATTGGAATATAAATATTGTACATACATTTCAGTGTATAGTATGTAGAGCAGTATAACAAGTCATTATCTATATGAAATTTTAGTTTGTGCTCACTTTACTAGTGATTTTATGTAATCTATTGTAAAATTAGGCAAATATTTGATCAAGTTGATGCACCCACTGGAAGACCTCTGCATACCACCAGGGATACACATAACCCTGGCTGAGGTTATTCAGCACCCAAACTCGAAATAAGATATGTAATTTGCACTACATAAAATGCGTATTTTATTTTGTTTCTCTTTCAAAATAGCTTATTTTGAAATTTGGCGCATCTACGCAGTGCCAAATTTTGAAATAATGCACTATTTCAAGATATCCCTTAACTCTCACGGAATGAGGGTTACATGGAAGCTAAAATAATGCACTTGTTATTTCAAAGAATATTTTGAAATAACAAGCAGCTTGTTAAGACGCGGGGTAACTATTTCAGGATATTTCCGGTATCCTGAAATAGCCGTGCAGGATAGACATACCCCAGCTGTCGAAACAATCTTATCTGTCTTGCATTTCACTGTGACACTCTGAGTACCTTTCTCAGACTTGAAACAGAGGTCTGTGTAAGCTTGAATCCTTGCCTCTTTCACCAACAGAAGTTGGTCTAATAAAAGATATTACCTCACCCACTTTATTACTCAGTTAGTCACATTGTTTTTTCCTTCCTCAAAACATCAATCTTACAATAAAGCATGGATGTTTCTTAAAAGAAAAGAAAAAATGAATGAAGAGGGGGAAAGCAGCTATACTTGCAATTTGAATAAAAATCTGTTTCAACTGGGGAAATAAATTAGCCTTTTGTAAGAATGATTTTCACCAGATCATAGATTATAGGACTGCACAGCAGTTAACTGTATAAGCCCTGGTCTACACTAGGGGTGTGTCTAGACTACATGCCTCCTTCGACGGAGGCATGTAGATTAGCCATATCGGGGCAGCCATTTAAATTTAAATGGCTGCCCCGATCTCCCGACAAACAGCTGATCGGGAGATCGGGGCAGCCATTTAAATTTAAATGGCTGCCCCGATCTCCCGACAAACAGCTGATCGGGAGATCGGGGCAGCCATTTAAATTTAAATGGCTGCCCCGATCTCCCGACAAACAGCTGATCGGGAGATCGGGGCAGCCATTTAAATTTAAATGGCTGCCCCGATCTCCCGACAAACAGCTGATCGGGAGATCGGGGCAGCCATTTAAATTTAAATGGCTGCCCCGATCTCCCGACAAACAGCTGATCGGGAGATCGGGGCAGCCATTTAAATTTAAATGGCTGCCCCGATCTCCCGACAAACAGCTGATCGGGAGATCGGGGCAGCCATTTAAATTTAAATGGCTGCCCCGATCTCCCGACAAACAGCTGATCGGGAGATCGGGGCAGCCATTTAAATTTAAATGGCTGCCCCGATATGGCTAATCTACATGCCTCCGTCGAAGGAGGCATGTAGTCTAGACACACCCTAGGGAGTTATTTTGAAATAACGAGCAGAGCGTCCACACTAGCAGGCCCGTTATTTTTAATTAAGGGGCTGGTTATTTCAAAATAATAACG